CCCTTGTTTACAACCATGGAAACTATACTATGTATGTGAAATATTCAATTAATAGCATCATGTCGCTGGTAATTAATCACTTACCAGCCCAACTCTGATTGCCAGTGACTTTTGTACCATCTGATTTGTACCACATTGTTTCTCCTCTCCATTGGACTGTTCTTGGCACATTGCATTCCAATACAACAGTGGACCAAAGGTACACATTCATAACTCCATTGATAATATCATTCGGGCGGCCTTTTAGTTCATATGCAGAATGGTCATTCTCGTCTATTATTAAAAATAACGCATGTAGTGATAATTTCATTACATGAGTTGCCTCATGTAATATTCACAAGGTTAGTAATTGTCCATTTGATAGATTATCTGATTTGAGAAGGGGGGATTAAATGTGCCATGTAAAACTAGATATCATTATCACAAGCTTGCACTATTTTATCCCATATATCAATTTTGTAAGGCAATCATATAATTTTACGCGATTATTGGGACGTTATCTACCTTCGCATTTACCGTATTTCCATTTGAATATTTATACTGCCATACCTCGAACACAACTGGGAGGTCCGTAGTCCCAAGACGAAGATCCACCATTTTGTATACATTTAATTCGACTGTTACCCTGTAAATTATAACCAGCATCGCAGTAATATTCAACCTCTTCCAGGTATCCTTGAGAATATTTTTGTATTTGATTGGTTCTGCTTGGGAATTCTGGTGGTTCTGGATCATCACACTTTTCTGTGAACAGAAATTGATGATGATTTTGAAGTGTAGTGTACCACTCGTTCAGATCGGCAGTGAACATGTATGAAAAAACATATTTCTGTTTAATCTGAAACGCATCGCCAATCAGTTATTATCGTAAGCAGAACATTTCATAGATTTCAACAGAATTTCATAATATTTTTAATTTTGAAGTATTAAATCGAAATGGTGTGATAGAAACCTGATCTTAAAGTGGATTTTTAAACATTACCATAGTGGTTTTGTATGTGTAACTCCGAGGTCAATAAAAACTGTGACAAATTGAATAAGCGTTGCAGGTCAAGAGCATTCAAGAAGATTCATCGTACGCGCCATATTTTGTTTGCTTGTTGTCAGATCCACCTCTCATGGAAAAAAACAAGATCCAGAATAACGAGTTTTTAACCTTTTGTGACAATATATATTTCATAGTTGTAATTTATACGAATTGTGGGAAATAAATAAATAATAAACTCTCAAACTCTCTTAAAACGGGGAGGATCGTCATCTGTATACTTTTTCATATTTTATTTATTTAATTAACACACAACAAAGCCTTAGCGATACATTCGCTAAGGCTTTTTAGCAATTACAAATTTCACATGATCTCAGAGAGCAAGCTTAAGAAATGATTTGTACTCACTGACACAAGATGATATTGTCCCACTCCATGTACCATCCGATTGGCACACTCTCGTATCCGGGCCAATCAACGTCATTCCATCATCGCAAGAAAAGGTGATGATGTGTCCAAACCAAAACGTATTACCTTCAGTGACTGTTTTAACATTGTCACCGGTAATTGGTGTGTCACATAAAATCTCTAATAAATATAAAAGATAGTGCGTCATACATAGAGTGTTTCCACCAGTCAACGTAATCTTGTATACATCAAAGCTACACGTCGAGTATTCCAGTTTCTTCAAACAAGTTGAGGTCAACAGCTATATGAAGCATGTATGTAAGATTGTTGTATACATAAAACACACACTACTTTCATACACATGCAATTGTGAGATATGTATAAATGAAATATACATCAATGCATTGTACGAATCAGTAAAAGTCTAGGTAGGTAGGTTCGTTGTATATATGTACCTCCAGCTAAGATTACACGCAAAAACATATCATATCAAACATCACATCAAACATATCACATCAAACATATCACATCAAACATATCACATCAAACAAACATATCACATCAAACATGTTACATCAAACATAGCTGCCATGTACTTCATACATAATGTATTTACCTTTACAGGTGGGAACTGGATCAGTCCAAGCACCATCCTCTTTACAGTAAATAATTTCCACTCCAATTAATCTATATGGATTGTGGCAGGCAAACTCTATCCTGCTACCATAAATAAAGTTCATATCCCCAACAGTATGCAGTGGGTCAGTTGGCGGGGAAATTGTTGGACAAATTACAGCTGAAATAAGTAAATATAATATCTATATATCTATATGTTTTAGATTGTTATATAAATCGTATTAGGCAGCTT